ATGCTCAATAATCCAGGTATAAAATCCAACATTTTTCAGTCAGGTCAGATCCTGCACTTAATACACTTATAAATCACACATAAAGTGTTTATAAGTAAATGATAACTATGAACGGGCTTCACTGGTGACTTTAGCCTCTTTTTGGGGATGCTCAAGCGCCCCTAAAGTTTAACTCAGCACCTCTGAAAAATAAAGAAACCATCATTAGGATTGTGTGAGGAAACAGTTCTCAAACCTTAGATTCATCAAAATATGGAATAAATAATGACAGTCTTAAATGGGCCAGTAAAATCTATGATTTTTCTGGCACGAGTCTTGCCACCTGTCAATCATTCCAGTAGGCACGTCAGCAACTGACCAATCAGTGACCTCAATCTGTCCTGAAGTGAACGCCCCTTACCTGCAGAGCTGCAGCTTTACAGTCAGAGATTTCAATAAGTTTGTTTCATGTTAATCTGCTGTAATAAACCTTTGTAAAATCCACCCGAATTCAGGAAATGACATCTACTTTATTCAAAATTCTCTGGGGGAGGACCCCCAGACCCCCGCACCCCGACCAGCACCACCACCAAGCCGGCATCATTTGGTCCTGGTTAAAGCATGTTAAGGGTCTCAGACATGGACTCAATCAGACCTGAAACAGAGAATTTCTGAAGAATGACAACTGTCCAAGCTGCAGCTTCCTTTTCTCCTGACTTTGCCCTTTTTCTTCTTCTGCTGGTTTAATTCATGTCAGCTTTCCCTTTGTCATTTTTTAGCGCCCCCACGAAGGGTTTTGTTGTTATTTGATGTTTGAGTCAGTCAGTTTTACTCTGATGTTGGTAAAAAAGGCAGCACATTGGCACAGTTGGTAGAGCTGCCACCTCTCAGCAAGCAGGTCGCCTCGGTTCAAATCCCGGCCGGGGGCCTTTCTGGGTGGAGTTTGCATGTTCTCTCAGTGCTGCGTGGGTTTTCTCCTGGTACTCCAGTTTTGTCCCACAGACCAAAAACATGCATGTTAGACTGACTGGTGACCCTAAATTGTCCCTAGGTGAGTGAGAGAGTGAATAGTTGTTTGTCTCGTTTGTCTCTGTGTCCCTGTGATGGACTGGAGACCTGTCTCAGATGTTCCCCGCCTCTTGCACAGTGATGGCTGGAATTGGGCAACAGTGACCCACGTGACCCGAAAAGGAAGAAGCGGGTAAAGTTAATGAATAGATGGATGATGTTAGCAGAAAGAAATAATGATTCAATCTCTCGCAACAAAATCTGAATAATTTTCTTGTTGGGAGAGACTTTACAATTTGCAAACCATTAAGTAAAAGTAGTGTTTAACCAGGCAGAATCCTGTTCCACAGACCAGTTTTTGTGCCCCTGTGACACACAACAACCAACCAAGAGACCAACCAACCAACTGACCAATCAACAAACCAACTGACCACCCGACCAACAAACTGACCAACCAACCAACTGACTGACCAACCAACAAACCAACTGACCAACCGAACAATCAACTGACCAACCAACT